GTTCACAATTTCCTGAAGATCAAGATGATTACTCATATAATATTTTAAATAGGATTATGGTAGGTTCAGAAAATTATTGTTACTATTTTTTTCTTATTTAAATTGAATCTTATTTGATATTTGATATTTTTTATTTAGATGTGTGTTGAAGCAGGAAGACCCTTGATTTTAACAGATTTAGAAGTCATTTATGGCAAGTGTATTTTTATTTGAAATCATTTCTAATAATAATAATTCATTTATTTAATATTTATAGTATTTATTATAATCACAGGAAGTCTTTATGATTTATGGAATCAAAATTATATTGTTATGGGAAGCAATGATGATCCTAAATATTATGCTAGAATTGCATTGGGGGCATATGCAAATCCAATGGTGTATGTATAATTGATAAATAAATGAATAAATATGTATATTATATTGTTTTTTACAAATAAAAGCATTAAATAAATATTATCTTGTATTTTATTAGATCTGTTCACAAGGACTTTAGATGCATTCTTGTTTTGGAAGAGAAAAATTTACTACATGCTGATCCATCACTTTTGAATAGATTTGAAAAGCAAAAATTGGTAATTAATGATATATTGACAGATGAGGAATTTGAGCTTGTTGCTGAATTGAATAGCTGGGTGAAAAAGTTTTCTATGGTTTCAGGAAGAAATGCAGGGTCTCAATCGCACAATAAATTTGAACAACAAGATTTATTTATTGGTTTTGATTCTAATGAAACCATACAAAGTTTGGTTATAAATATAAAAAGAAAATATCCAAATGCCGACAATGAAGAAATACTTGAAAAATGCAAAGAATGTCTTGTTGCTATAGCAACTTTAGATGGTATGGTTAGATCTGAAAATTCTTTATTAAATCATGAAGAGGTACTTAAATGGAAAGAATATTATTTTAAAATACAACATCATAATAGTCTTTTTGATTATTTTGATGCATTATTGAAACAAAATGATCCATATATGCCAGTAGCAGAAGGAAAACAAGTTATTGTTAATACATTTTCAAACATCAATACTGATATAGAAGCTTGTCTGACAAATAAGATCAGTTGTCAAGTAGATAAACTTTCAACATTTAAATCTGAAACACAATTTCAAAATAGAATCAAACATTTTTGGCAGGAATCTGATAAACAAATGTTAATTCTTCAATGTGATATAACAACTGTCAATGTGGGATGTATTAAATTAGCTAAATTTGTTATTGAACAATTACGTGGAGAATTCTTAATTAAAAGACGCAATAGCAATAAAAAAATTCCAATGAAACATGCATGCATAATTTTACACATTCACCGTGAACAAGAAACACCTTTTGTTTCATTTAATTTCATGTGTGGATGGGAGCAAATTACCATTGAAACATTACAAGTCCAAGATAAACCTTTATCCAGCCTTTTGGAAAAACCTATGGCTGATATTATCAATACTACATATCCATTTGAAGATATCTTGAAACAAGAATTGTTATGGTGTTTATCATGCATGAAATATCCTCATTCACAAAAATCATTGGATCATATTAGGTGTGTATTTATTTATTTATTTAAAAATTATAATAACAATATATTTATTTTAGTAATTGATTTTTTAAATAATAATGTGTGTTTATTCTAGGGTTCTGATTACACAGATTCCAAATAATAAAAATCTGATCACATGTTTAAAGGACAGAACACAAGAATGGTTGGAAACAAGTTCTGAACCAAATTGGCAAAATAAAGTTGCATCAGACAAAAAACTTTTATACCCATATTCTTCATTTTCAGGTGCATTACAAGCATATTTACGTATCTTTATTCGAAAACCAATTGCAAAGCTTTTATGTGCAATTGAAAGGTTATCAGCAACCAGAACCTTGCTTTTGATTGATAGACCACGAAAAATAGAAGAAGTAGAACAATCTCATAAATTACTTGAATTCTGGATAGAGTGTTTTATGGATCCAAAAATTGTAAACACAGAAGATATACCAGATCCTAAACCAGATGTATATACTATGCCTGCCAATAATTATGACCTTGAATTCCCATTTTCACTTTATTTTATGAAAAGAATTGATTCATTCAAACGGCTATTTGAAGATGAAATAAATCAGCATAAGGAAAACGAGGAAAATATTGATGAACAAACTGGTGAACTTTACCAACATTTCTTTAATGATTATACAAAAGGATTTTCAACTACTGTTATAAATTCTATACCATCATTCAAAAAACCATCACTGAATTTATTTGCGGATCTGTACTTTAATGATTTTGTTGCAGTAGTTTCATCTAATGATTCTGCTGGTAACAGAAATCCAAAAGTTTTATCATTTTTACTTCAAAGACTTATGGGAGAAGAAAAATTTTTAGACCCAGTATTCTTACATGCATATTGGTGGAGAAATTCAAATACTGTTTTAGCTGAATTTCAATTAACTCAAATATGTCCAATGGTTATTAGTAAGATAACAAATTGCAATAACTCAGAATCTTTTGAACATTTACTAGTTAAAGAGACTGCAGAAATAATGTTACAGAATATTAGTGAATCACGGAATTTAACATACAATTCATATATGTTTGAACAGTGGCAACGTGATGTTACAAAAATTTTATCATTTGGAGCAAAAGTTTTGAAAGGTCAACCATTGCCTTCACTTCAAATATTACGTATTTGTAATGATTTTATATCAACAAAAGCCATTCCATTAGCTAATGTCAAAGAAATAATTACAATTGGAAAAAATTCAAGCCAAAAAGAAATGCTTTCAGCTGAGTTTATTAATAAAGTATTTGATATTCTTTATAAAATGGAACCAAATGAAAAGAATCTTATTTCAAGAAGATCATTTATTCTTAGATGTCTTGATATTGTTGATCTTGAATCTAAACTTAGACTGCAATTATATGTTAAAATTTTCAGCCAAAGACCATTTCCACTTATGAGTGCAATAATACAACGTATATTCTTGCAAGAAGATGAAGATGAAGATGAAAGTATTCTTTTGACTATTTTAGAAAATCCAGGTTTGGCTATCCGTGATTCAGCAAGATTAAATGTAATAAATACTTGTCTTAAAAATCAAGGACTTGATTCTATGATGTCAACATTATGTTGTGATGTTATTCAAACATTATTTGAAACATTTGAATTATCAGATTTAGCAAATTATTTTGGATCTGCAGCTAAAGCTATAACTAATCTTGGAACAGAAGCATTACAAAAAATAACTGCAATTGCTTTTCTTAAAGTATTTGTTGAAGGATTCTGGAATGAATGTATTCAAAGACACAATTATCAGCAACCAATAGTTTTCGATCTAATGGAAACTGATGGAGCAGTTTTAATTAAAGAAATTAATGATTTTATGAGCATACCAAATCCATTAATCCATTCATTAAAAATATATTTTCTAAGAATTTTACGTAATCGGCACAATCTTCCACTCAATGATGTAAAACAATTTTGTAATAGACAAAATAGAACACTTCCATGGCTTGCAAGTATTGCATGGGAAGACAATTCTCAAAATAGACTTTCATTTAATCCTTACTGGGCCTTAGATATGTATGCAGAAGCTGATAAAGGATTTTCTAGTTTATACTCACTTAAAAATAAAGCACCAATTAAGATCTTCCTACAATCTGTACAAAAAAACGAATCAATAGGACATAGAATTGCATTTGGTGGAGTAGTTGTACAACGTATACATGTAGTCCATGCATCAAGTGAATGGTCCCTTGATTATGATAATGCCAGTAAAGATCTTAGAACTGAAATTAATGGAATGAAAACGCTTACACCACTTTATAGACAAATAATTGACAATATTATACAAAATAAACAGCCATTACTTCAACTAAACAATAGGACAACAAATGAAACTTTGTTAATTAAATCTGTAATTGGACATATTGTAATCTTACATTCATCAATTCCTGCAGACTCATCACCATTAACTATTTATTTAAATAATCTAAAAAGCTGCCATACACATTATATTTTAACGGCACAAGCTGATAATGAATCAGTCATCATGAATGCTTTAACATCTACTACTGGTGAACAATTAACAAGGTAAAAATTAGATTTATTTATTTTGCATTATGATGATGATGATAATGATGATAATAAATAATTTTTTAAATAATTTTAGATATTCATGCCAGTGTGGTTATAAATATGTTATAGCAAACTGTGGTCAAGCAATGGAAGCAAGAAAATGTCCACAATGTAGCAATACAATAGGAGGCGGATCACATAAATCAGCTGCTGGTAATCAAAGATTGGATCATGCACCTCAGAGAAATATGACAGTTGTGAACCAACCTGGTTATGTTGAAGATCTAGTTGAACCTGGAATTGGTCATACAGTCCGTGCTATGCCACCAAATGCATATCGCATCTTACATTTAATTGTTCATGCATTGATTGGTTCTTCAAATCATGCTAAAAACTTCTTAAAAATTAATGGTAATGCTGAAGAATATTGCCTTAAACATATACAAAATGACTGGAATGCACTTAAAAGAATTTTCAATTGCAATGATGAAAATTTAGCACTATTGTTACATTCAATTCTAACAGAAATGTCAAAAAAACTTTTTACTGGTGGTCCATCAACAATTACAGACCCTGCTCAACGGGATGTATGGGAATTACGGTTTGTTAATGATTATGTTGAGCCACAAACAAAAAGCTTCAATGAATCTATTACAAATTTCCGTAGAAAATTAGATGCAGAATCAAAAAAAGCAAATGGAAATACTAACATAATTGAATCTGAAGTTAATCAGACTATAGATATGGATGATAATTATAAAGTTGAATATTTACCAAATCTTTGGAGAACAATAGGAGCTATAAGTTTTGAAAGTTTCAGAGCATATTACATTGCTGATCAAACCAATAACAATAAAACATATCCATTTCTTTCAATATTTTTTAAACATTCTGAAAAGTTGACACAGATTAAACATCTTTTTCCCATTATTAAATTTGCTGAGATATTGGCATCAAGACTTGAGTATAGAATCAATAGAAAAGATGCTCATAATAAATCATTTCAAGAATTTATAAATGATGAATCAAATGGAGGAATAGTTAAAGAGACACATGAAACATTAGCTAAGGCATTTGATGAATTTTCAGAAGCATGGAATGCAGTGCATGATCAAGTCAAAAGATATCAATGTAGTGAGTTTAAATCAGTTATTCCTAAGGTGACTTTAGATAGCCCAATTGCTTTTGGATTAGTTGAAGAAAAAGATACAGGGATATTTATTTGTGCAATTATAAATTACCTTGTGGCATTACAAAATAATTTCTTGCTAGAAATCACAACAATTCCAAATGGGTCTTGTAAATCATTAAAATTTTTAGAAGAACCATCTCAAGTTGATGCTGAATCAACATCTGGTAATGGTGGTAGTAGTAGTAGTTCAACTCAAACCAATAATTCAAAGATATCTAATCAATATTATCTACGATTATCAAGAGCAAACCAATTAATAAAATCAAATGTAATTGATTATGAATGGGATGAAGATATTCTTCAATATAGTCAAAGAATCCTTGCTATTGGACGTGGTGATGATGTTATTTATGACTTGCAAAAGATTGAACTTGAACTTGCACGTTGGTTGGTATTTGATAAAGCGTATATTGAAACTGTACAAGATTTACCATTATATTTAGAACCATTTTCATACCATATGGAATTGTTCCAAGGATATTTGAGAATCCTCAGTGACATTAAAAATATAATTCCACAAGAACCTATTCCTACTGAAAAAATATTATTGATTAGAGGAGAAGCAGG